CAGCACATGGCACAACAGCTGTTACGTCGCTGGGCTCCCACATGACCAACCACTGTTTGAGTCCCGGAACCTGGTGGCTTGTTTTCTCACTCTCCCTCTCTCTCTGTCTCTCTGGTCAAGATGAGTAATAATAATAATAATAATAATATAATTAAATAAGTTATTATTTTAAAATGATTTTATTTAACTTTATTTATTTATTCATTTGTTTACTACAGTCTGACCAGAGACAGAGTGTGTGTGTGAGAGCCAGAGAGAGAGAAAGACAGAAAGTGAGAAAGCAAACTCCGATTGGTCACGTGGGCATCCAGTACCTTTAACCACCAAGCCACCTGCCGGTCCCATAATTCTGTTTGTTTATTTATTTTCATTTTCTTGCTATAAGGCACATGTGCTAGCCAGAGAGAGTGAAAGTAAGGGAAGTCATGCCCCGGGGGTGGCCATATTGCAATCCCTTCTCCTCTATTCTCCTCTTGGGATTTCAGGTTTGTGTGCACATATGCCTGACATCTTCTTCAAGCCATTGGGTTTGGGACTTGAACCATGCAGTTGGCTACGTGAGAGCTAGCCGACTTAACCTCCACACCATCTGCTGGTCCTCTATGTTTATTTTTTGAGGAAATGCCATACCATTTATATTCATACCAGTCATATACAAGGATTCCAATTTCTTCCCAACACCATTCTCACCAATACTTGTTATTTTCTGTGTGTGTAACAGCCATCCTAATGGGTGTCTAAATCAGAAACGGAGAAATGGAAGTGAGGGGCCAGTGAGTGGCATGGTGTTTAAGGTGCCAGACTCCCACATAGCTGACCATGGTTCAAACCCCAGACCTGGTGGCTTGAGAATCACACATGGTGCATGCACCTGTGCTCCAAAATCCTGAAAGGAGAATGGAGAAGTAATTCTGCTATGGCTATCTCCCCAGGGGATGATTTCTCACTTTCTCTCTCTGTCTTGTCTTTCTCTGACTCTCTCAGATTAGCTCATGTATCCTATGGCAAAAAAAAAAAAAAGTGTAGGAGGGAGAGTATGAAATTAGTATTAATTAATTTCAGCCTCAAAACACTGAGACCCAAAGCAAACAAAGACAACTGGTGAACCCAAAGCTAGAATTTTTGTCCTTTGTTCTCAATTTTTGTCCAGAGGGTGCATGCACAGAAAGACAGAGAGAAAGGGAATTGAGTAAATGCTTTCTGCCCCCCATGGATGATGGCCACAGCACAATCTCCTCTCCTCCATCCCTCCTTTTGGAATTTTGGGTATGCATGTACACAGGCCAAGCATGTTTCTGAAGCAACTAGGTCCAGAACTAAAATTGCATAGTCAGTCATGTGGGATCCAGCTGCCTTAAACATCACAACACTGGCTGGCCCCCAAAATTAGGTTTTATTTTTTATGAAAAATAAAACTTCATAATTTCTACCTATATTGATTGAGAAGGAAAAAAAAGGTGATAAATGTTAAGAATGAAAAATACACCTTCACTACCATACTTCAGACATTAGAATAATAATAAGGGACTGCTATGACTAACTCCATGTCAATAAACTGGAAAACCTTGATTAATGGACAATTTTTTTTTTGGAAAGACACACAGTACCAACACTGACCAAAGAAGAAATAAAAATGTGATCAACCTTGTATCACTTGTAGAAATAAATTTTTTTTTTGTAATTGGAAACCTTCCCATAGAGGAAGATTCAGGTGTAGAAGGCATCATCAGTGAATTATGTCAAACATATAATATAACAATCAATATTAAATAAACTATTTTAGAAAAAAAAAGATGGAACAAATCTCACCTCATTGCGTAGGGTCAGTATTACCCTCATTCCAAAGCCAAACAAAGACATCACATGCAAAACAATAGAAATACATCTCTAAATACCAATAAATAATTCAAAAAAAAAAAAAAAAAAGGAAGTGAGGGAGCCAGCAGATGGCATGGTGGACCAGACGCTGAACTCCCACATGGCTGACCACAGTTTGAGTCCTGGACCTGGCAGCTTGCTTTCTCACTCCTCTGCTGTCCTCCATCCCATCTCTCTCCAATGAGTGTATGTGCCCTGTAGCAAAGCACTCACACACACCCAGCATGATTTTAAGCCCACACAATCTGGGACTTGAACCATGGTCAGCCATGTGGAAGTCCAGCAACATAATTGTTATGCCATCTGCTGGTACCAATAAATAATTCAAAAAAAAAAAAAAAAAATGGAAGTGAGGGAGCCAGCAGATGGCATGGTGGACCAGACGCTGAACTCCCACATGGCTGACCACAGTTTGAGTCCTGGACCTGGCAGCTTGCTTTCTCACTCCTCTGCTGTCCTCCATCCCATCTCTCTCCAATGAGTGTATGTGCCCTGTAGCAAATTAAAAAATAATAATAATAATGATAAATAAAATTAAATAATTCTTTTTAAAAATGGAAGTGAGAGATGATTAAGATGCTGAACTCCCTCATGGCCAACCATGGTTCCAGTCCCAGACTGGTGGCCTGTTTTCTCACTTTCTCTCCCTGGTGAGTTTGCATCCCCTACAGCAAATTTAGAAATAAATAATGGGACCAGCAGGTGGCGTGGTGGTTAAGGTGCTGGACACTCCCATATGGCTAACCACGGTTCGAGTCCCGGACCTGGCGGCTTCCTTTATCCCTTTCTCTCTCTCTCTCTGTGTCTCTCTCTGGTCAAATTAAAATAAATGAATGAATAAATAAAATTAAATAAATAATAATCTTTAATAAATAATTCCTTAATAAAAAAAGAAAGGAAGTGAGGGCTGGCTCCATGGCCTACTAGTTAAGGCAGCCGAATCCCACATGGTTCAAGTTCTGGACCGAGTACTTGAGAAACAGGTAGACTGCATGTGCATGCCTGCCTAGAATCCTGAGAGGAGGGAAAAATGGAGACGGGATTGCTACGTGACCGTTCTTCATGGGAGAGTGCTTTCTCCTTTCTTCCTTTCTCCCTCTCTCTAGTGAGCATATGTGCCCTTTGGTGGGGAGCAGGGGATGAAAATGGGTCAACTGGTGGCATACCAGTAACGCAATGGGACCCACCTAGGACAGGTCCTAGGACTTCCCCCGAGAACATGTCAGGTGCACACACATGCTTATTATTCCAGGTGGCTGAGACTGGGGATGGATTGTGGTGTGACAACCTTATTGTTGAGGGTGTCTCTCTTGGAAGACATTATGAAATAAAAAAAAAATATTTTTGAGAGGTTTTTGCTATAGGGCGTGTGTGCTCGCCAGACAGAGAGAGAGACAGAGAGACAGAAAGCGAGAAATCACCCCCCAGGGGGGATGGCCACGCCACAATCCCTTCTCCTCCTTTCTCTTCTCAGGATCTTGGGCACGCAGGCACACGGCGTGAGTGTTAAGCCACTGGATCCGGGACGCGAACCGCGGTCGACTACATGGGAGTCCAGTGATATAGCCATTACGCTAACTGCTGGTCCCTGAAATATATTTTTTTTGGAGAGGTTTTTGCTATAGGGCCTGTATGCTTGCCAGAAAGACAGAGACAGAAAGTGAGAAATCACCCCCCGGGGGGGATGGTCACACCGCAATCCCTTCTCCTCCATTCTCCTCTCGGGATCTTGGGCACGCACGCACACGTGCCCAGCGTGAGTTTAAGCCACTGGGTCCGGGACTTAAACAGTGGTCGACTTACGTGGGAGTCCAATGACACAGCCATTATGCCAACTGCTGGTCCCAAGGATATAATTTTTTTTTTTTTTAAAGAGAACACATCACACATGTTGAGAGCAAGAATTGTTAACGAAAATTTGGTTTCAATTGTGGGTGTGACACTCTATCACACGTCCACCAAATGGAATATTTTCCTCCAACTCTAGCCTTTAGTAAATATTGGTCCCTCCATGTGGGAGACACTTCTCCCTAGCACATTTTCACTCCATCCCTAGGTCAGTGCTACTTCCTCTGAGAAGCCCTCCCAGGCTTTCACTTTGCCTTCCAAAACTTACCAGACTTTATAGTTACATATTTATAATTATGCTAAATATCTCTTTTACTAGGCTGTGAACCCAGATCATCTTGCTCACAAACAGCATCATGGGATAGTTAAGGCTGGATTCTGGAGCAGACCACACAGGTTCCAATTCTCACTCTGCCACTCACTAGCTGTGTGATCGTGGGCGACTCATTTCCCTGAGCTTTAGTTTCCCTTTGATAAAATGGGGAAAATGACATCTACTTCAAAGCTCTTCTGAAAACTAAAGGAGGCTAACAGGTAGAAAGCACTTAGAGCAGGGCTGGAGAGGCTTAAGGACCCTTCAATCCTCAGCATACCACTACATCGTGACGTGACCCTGGTTCTACTATAGCTCCCTAGCGTGCAGTACTATATAAGTGTTAGTGATTTTATTGTTATTACTCACCGCCTATTGATTAATGGAACACAGTAGATGCCCCTTAAATATCTGTCCATTATTAATATTCATTCACTAAATGAAAGCAAGAGCTCCATCCCACTCCCCATTTTTAAGTTCCTGCAGTACAGTAGGTACCCAGGCGCATAATAGGTGTCTAGAACTTAGCAGGCATCCTTGGCGTACAGCAGGACCCTAGCCCTCGGCGGACAACTGGCAAATAGAGGTCATTCACAAGCCTTTGGCTAAACCTGGGAAGGACCTAAAATTGATGCAGCACGCTCGCCCCCTGTTGGAGCCTGTTCTTCCGTAAAGCTAGCCATCAGCGGGCCCACCGGCCGGCGCAAGCGTACTTACAATCGTAGGCAGGTCAGATGGTCGCAGCTCCCCCTTGCGGAGCTCCAGGGAGCGCGCAGCTTCCTCTGGGCATGCGCACAGTGATTCCATGTCCAGCTGCGGGAGCGCGCTATAGCCCTCGCGTGCGTGCTCATACAGGAGGTTCCGGTCAGGTCTCTCTGTAGCAAAACTTCTCCTTGCGCTCTGGTTGCAGACGCACCCTCCCCGGGACCGCAGGCCGGGACGAGCCAGCAAAGGCCACAAGCGCCGCACTATGGACGCAGCCATCTTGAATCCGGAACAAGGAGGCACGCATCTTTCGTTCCGCCCACCCCGCCTTTAGGCCAATTGCAAAGCGGCTGTTCTGCTCCGGATTAGCCAATCAGATCTTGGAAGAGGTATGCCCGCCCTCTCTCCGAGTCCCAAAGCAGTTCAGTGACAAGTTGACCGAGATAGACTCAGTCGTTGCCCAATCGTCTTCTGTGTTCCGCTCCTTCAGTGACGTAGGGGCAGAACCATCGAATCCCTGCCCAGATAAACCTCCAAAGGGACTTGAAGCAGGATTAAGCGCGTCTACCGGACCTGCTAGGGTCGGTAAGGTCGTTGGAATTTCGGGTTCTCCAAACCTCATTGGTCTTTTCCCCAGGTTCCCCCTTCCTCCTTTATGCAGGCGAGGTCACTTGGGTCCCCAGGCGCCTATTCGAACAAAGCTAAATTTACGGAGGGACTTTCTGTTAGCAGCATGAGGGTTTGTGGTTAGACTGGTGGGGAAACTTCCTTAGATTTTGCCCAGGACTCCGAGAGCAGGGCAGGGAGCATTTGGGCCCTCATTCAACTACAACCACTTTTCTTTGCCCTTCTAAGTCTTTTATTCCCTAACTCAGGGACACGGGAGGCGGCGGGATGTCCTGGTCTGGCCTTCTCCGTGGCTTCAACACATCCCTAAGCAGTGGTAAGTTGGGGACCTGGGCTGCAGGGACGAGGTTGGACGAGTCCTCGGGACTTGCTTGCTCTGTCGGAGCCCCGAGGGAATTGGGTTTTAAATCAGAGTAGATGCACGGTGGGTTTTTGGAGAAGTTCGGGCTGCAAGAACAAGGTGGTAGCATTGAGGGCTACTGTGCGCCCAGCGAAATCTGAGTCAGTTAACTTTTTTTTTTGGGAGAGGTTTTTGCTGTAGGGTGCTTGTGCTCACCACAAAGACAAAGAGAGACAGACAGAAAGCAAGAAATCACCCCCCCACCCCACCCCCCGCCAGGGGGAATGGCCACGCCCCAATCCCGTCTCCATTCTCCTCTCGGGATCCTGGGCGCTCATGCACATGCACCTGGCTTAAGTTTAAGCCAGCAGGTCCAGGACTCGAACTGCAGTTGACTACATGGCAGTCCAGCGACATAGCCATTACACCAACTGCTGGTCCTCAGTTAACTATTTATCATGTACTTCCTGTGAGTGAAGCATCCAGCCAACACGTTTTAGACTTTTCGTTTAACTGGTCGTTTTCAAGGGCCTAGTATGTGCCAAGCACTGAGGGAGAGCTTTATTCCTTCCTCAGACAGCAAATGTTCTCACGGCCATGCCCTGTATGAGATTCTTCACTCATTTATCCATGCTGCAAACCTTTATTAAGCCCGTTCTGTTGCCACTTCTTAAGAATCTTCAGGGTGGGTAAGTCATACCTGCTCGCTACGCCTGGGTTTCAGGGCTAGCTTGACATGGGGTATTTCATGGTAGTCTCATCCAGCACTCAGGAAAGGGCAGGACCATGGCGCCAGGGATGCAGATGAAGAAACTGAGGCACTGAGAGGATGAATGTTGCTCAAAGGCATGATAGTAGATAGGGGAAGACCTTTAGGAACGCCCCATCCCCTTACATATGTGTGTGTCTGTGTTTAGGTTTTTGCCATAGGGTGTGTGCCCTTGCTGGAGAGAGTCAGAGAGAGGGAAGATGAGAAATCACCTCCCAGGGGGGAATCGCCATACTGCTGTCCCTTCTCCATTCTCCTCTGGGATTTTGGGCACACACACACACACACATTGAGTGTGATTTTTCAAGCCAGTAGATCCAGGACTCGAACTACAGTCAGCTGTGTGGGAATCCAGCGTGCCACGCCACCTGCTGTTTGTGTGTGTGTTTCAGATGAGATCTCTGTAAGTTGTCATCCTCCTGTCTCGCCCTGCCGAGTTGCTGGGACCGCAGATGTGCACCACCATACCTGACTTTTTCAGACAGGGCCTTGCTACGGCACCTATGCTGATCACCATCCTTCAGCCTCAGCCTCCCACACTGCTGGGACTCTTGGTGTGTGCCACCATGCCCACCTGTAGATGAACTGGGAATTAAACCATCCTTAGAGTGAACCGGATATTAAATCCAGGTCTCCTGCGTGGCTTCAGCCTGCTGCGTGTAACCCAGTGGTTGCCACCACATCCTGGTCTGTCTCAGCTCCTTAGAGGGTTCTGCTGTTTCCCTAGACAAAGGAGGCATGAGGATGGACAGCAGGCCCAAGGCCTGCCCCAGATGTGGAGGAGAGTGGGACAGTGAGTTGAGAAAAGGCATCTGTCCTAGTGACGCAGAGCGAGGAATAGGGGAAGGATGGGTGGGTGATGCTGCAAGCTCAGAGCCCTCGAGCTTGGGCAGGGCTCAGGGATGGCTCAGTCAGTGCTGTGTCCCCTCATTGTCAGGGCCAAGACACACAGCAGGTGTTCGATGAATGTTCACTGCAGAGAATCCAGTCTTCTTCATTTCACGTGCAATCCAGGAGCAAACCCTTGGCGTGGCTTGAAAATATATCATGCACCTGCCAATCCCCCCACCATCTACCCTTCCTCTTTCTACCTTGCACCCACACTCGTCCCCTTCCTGTGGGTGTTTTTGTGGACACAGGTTGGGCCAGGGTGATCAAGAGGGCAAATAGAAAGCTTGAGATGGAGGAAGTGAATGGAGCCATTCAGGTGGGACCTCCCGTGCTATGGGAAGAACTCTGTCCTTTGCTCTGAGCATGAAGGAGCTGTAGGAGGGCTCCGAGCAGAGGACGCCATGACTGACTCAGGTGTTCACAGGCTCCCCATGGCTGTGTGTGGGGCAGGCTGTAGGAACGGAGACCTACGAGAGGTGTGACAGTTCTGTGGGAGACCAAGAGACACAAGACCCAGGTGGCATAGCGGAGGACGGTAGATTCTGATCAGTATCGAAGGTTGAGCTGACAGCATCTGCTCACAGGCTGGATGTGGGTTTGGGCTTCAGGGAGTGGCACTCCCAGGAATGCTCTTCAGGGTCTCTGTGGGCCTGAGCTCATGTATGAACTCATCATGCATGAGGTCATGTATGCAAGATGCATAGAACTGTACGCAACCTGGTGTAAGTGTTCATGCTGGTTTGCCCTTTTTTTTTTTAAGTTTATTTAGTTCCTGAGCAAGAGAGAGAGAGAGTTACAGCACTCCTGGCAGGGTCCCAACACCATGACCTGTCCTCAGCTTCAGCCAGCCCAGATGATGGGCACACACGTGGCAGGCATACTCGGGGGTCTTGGGCTGTGAGCCAGCATCCTTCCCACTTCTCTCCCCCTCACAAAGCATCACATTTTACCACTGCACCACCAATTGGACCTCCATGCTTGCTTTATTTGGAGAGGTTTTTGCTATAGGGCATGTGCACTTGCCATAAAGGCAGAGAGACAGAAAGTGAGAAATCACCCCCAAGGAGGAAAGGCCATGCTGCAATCTCTTCTCCTCCATTCTCTTCTTGGGATCTTGGGCACGCACGCACGCACACGCGCCCAGCATGAGTTTAAGCCACCAGGTCTGGGACTCGAACTGTGGTCGATTACATGGGAGTCCAGTGACATAGCCATTATGCCATCTGCTGGTCCCATGCTTGATTTAATTACTATTTCTGAACAGTATAAAAATTAGTACCTTCTTTGAAGAATAAAATGAGCTAATTTATGGGACCAGCAGCTAGTGTAATGGCTATGTTGCTGGACTCCCATATAGTTGACTGCAGTTCAAGTCCTAGACCCGGTGGCTTAAAACTCAGACTGGGCGCGTGTGCATGCATGCCCAAGATCCCGAGAGGAGAATGGAGGAGAAGGGACCATCCCACCTGGGGAGTGATTTCTCTCTTTCTGTCTCTCTGTCTCTCTGTCTTTCTGGCGAGCGCACATGCCCTTTAACAAGAACCTCTAAAAAAAAAAAAAATGAGCTAATTCATGTAAAATGCTTAAAAGAGAACCTGACACATGGTGGTTGCTCAATAAATGTTAGCTGTTATTACCGTTATCTGCAAATATCCCTAGATGTAAACAAATGCATCCTTCTAAGTGCTTGGAACAATGCCTGGAACACCAGAGTTGAACTGCTAATACTGTTTATTATCTGCTTGCTGGGATAATAACCCGCTCTGCCGCCCTCCTGGTTGTGTCTCTCCAGGCCTAGCCTTGGTTCCCCGGCTCTGGGCCACACGCTCCATGGCTACCCTGAACCAGATGCATCGCCTGGGGCCTCCCAAGCAGCCGCCTCCGAAGCTGGGCCCCACCGCAGGCAGGCCACAGCTGAAGGGTGTGGTTCTGCGCACATTCATCCGGAAGCCCAAGAAGCCCAACTCTGCCAATCGCAAGTGCTGCCGTGTGCGGCTCAGCACAGGCCGCGAGGTTGTCTGCTTTATCCCTGGGGAGGGCCACAGCCTGCAGGAGCACCACGTCGTCCTTGTGCAGGGTGGCCGCACCCAGGACCTGCCGGGCGTCAAGCTCACCGTCGTGCGTGGCAAGTATGACTGTGGCCATGTGCAGAAGAAGAAGTAACCCCAGAGACCGTGCTGGGCTGGGCACCTGTGCCGAACTAGAACCTTCCTCTCTGGACTCCAGCAGAGTCCGTGGACGCTAGCAATTCCAGCTCCAGAGGCAGCCAGTCCTGGGTTCCAGTTCTTGCTGCACTTTTCCGTCAGGACCACCATTAGCTCAAGGGGTTCCTGGGAATTAGAAAAAGGCACCTCTCCATCCACATCCCTGGCTTCTGTGTTTGCAGAGGTGGCACGAAGGACCTCTTTCTGGGAAGACACTGTCCTGCCACCTGCCAGGCAGGGGTTGTAATAAACACAGGGCTGTGATGTGACCCTCCCCATGCAGCATTGCCCCCTCTCTGTGCTTGTGGCATCTGCTGTTCTCTCTGGGCTGTGGTTTCCTCCTCCAGAAGAGAGGTCCCTCTGCACCACCTCCTTTGTTCTGTTTGGTGGAGGTTAAATGGGATGATTGTGTGCTTGACATATGTCAAGGCTACCGTTTTAAGCTTTGGAGTCAGGTGGGCAGTACTGAGGCCCAGTTCCCTTTCCTGTAGGCCTCGGGGTCTGGGCACATAGAAAATGGCAGTAATCTAATGTCAGTGTCGAAGGGGCATTGAAAGGATTTAATGGGGTATGTGGGTCCATACATGGAAGTTGTCCTTTTATATTATTAGTGGACACATCTGGGTTCAAATCCTGGCCCTTTTTTTTTTTTTCTTTAATTTGCTAAAGGGCGCATGTGTTTGCTGAGATACAGGGAAAGCGAATGCCAGAAAGCACCCTAATTCCTTCTCCATTTCTCCCACCTGTCAGAATTTGGGGCACGCACGCACCTATGGCTGTAATATTTTTCAAGTCGGGCCGACCGGGACTTGAAACGTGC